ATTCCGGTCAAGGACACATGCCTGGATTGCAGGCTTGACCCCTAATGGGAGCCATGCAGGAGGCAGCCAATCAATGATTCTCATCATTGATATTTCCATCTCTCTCCCTTTCCCTTCCTCTCTGAAATGAATGAAAAAAATTATAATATTCATCGTGACCTTACACATTATCCATTCAGAGCCCAGAGACACATACTGTCTACAAAAAGAGACCTCAGGACTCACTGTATCCCAGGTAGATATGAATGGTGGCCGCCTGGGCCGGTGTGGCTCAGTGGATTGAGTATCGGCCTGTGGACTGAAGGGTCCCAGGTTCGATTCCGGTCAAGGACACATGCCTGGATTGCAGGCTTGATCCCTAATGGGGGCCATGCAGGAGGGAGCCAATCAATGATTCTCATCATTGATATTTCCATCTCTCTCCCTTTCCCTTCCTCTATGAAATGAATTAAAAAATATAAAACATTATAATATTCATCATGACCTTCCTTACATATTATCCATTCAGAGCCTAGAGACACATACTGTCTACAAAAAGAGACCTCAGAGGTCATCTTTGTCACCTTCCTCAATTTACACGAAAAGATATTGATGCCCAGTGACCTGTGGGAGGTCACATAGCTACTTAGGGGCAAAGCATACATCCCCACACCCTTCTGCCCAGTTCCACACGTGCACCTCTGGACGCTGCGGCACACCCCAGCCCAGCTTCAGTCCCCTGCCCTTTCATTTCGCCTGGAATGGCATTTGGTAGCTTCCTCCTCCCATTAAGCCTACCCACCCCTTTAAGACCTCAAGATACCAACTCACTGTGCTCTCTTCCAGGAAGCCCTAGCTTTCCCTTCAGGGATGCTTGTCATTGCTCCTCCCCATGTCATTATTTAAGTATTCCCCTGTGCCTAGCACTGTGCTCGGACCTACAACTCTGCATTTCAGAAGAAGGGCAGGTCAGGGGATTTTCTTTGCTTGCATGGGGGGTGGTGGCCATGCTGTATAACTCAGCCGCTAGAGCAGGACTGGAATTCACATGCTACTGAGCTGGGCTGAAATGTCTTGGAAATGCGATCAATGTACACGTGCACCACAAAGATGCAAGAACGTTTATAGAGAGAGAACCAGCATCCATCAACCACGAGGAAAATGTAAATACACATGTACATTTTACACCATCAATTGTTATTAGGGAAAGGGGAACTTTGCCCTATATTTTGGAAGGGAGCAAAAGTTTCTGATCTCTTTAAAAGGTCTGCCCACTTTTCCTCATTTATAGAATATCTGCCCACCTCCTCCATTATGGATGCTAGCTAGCGACAAGTGTGCGGGGAGTCTGAGATGGGGAGTGGGAACAATCAAAATGCCTCCAAAAAGGAATGCCTGGTTGTATGGGCCTCAT